TTTGATCATCAAACCAATCTCATGTATATGTGATGGAACGCCGGACTCGTCTAACCGTGTCCGTGGTCTTGACGACCTGCCATTTTTTCTGGTTGGTGAGGCCGTCTAGTTCGCGGCTGTTAAAGCTGCCGCATCCTCTTCCGTACGTAAGAAACGTTCGGTATTTCCGCTAACTGTGATGATGCCACGTGGACCGGGCATTTTTAGCTTGAGAAAAGCATAATGCGGTATTGCGTTAAAATGAGTGAACGCCGTTCTTCCGAGTAGTGCTTGATAACCACTTCAGAATGGAGTGACGTGGAAAGTTAACCTTTCGCTTCAGAAGTTATCGGGATAACCGAATACTACCTCTAGCAGTAGAGAGCCCGTACAGCGGGCCTCTTGGCCTGGTATTACTCGCTTGAAGGTAGTATTACTGTGGCTTATTTGTGTCGGGTCTATCCCCATTTTGCGGACTGTGTCCTGATATATCAGATTTAGATCACTACCGCCGTCCATGAGGACTCGTGTAAGATGATACCCGTTTATTATTGGGTCTAACACCAAGGCCGCCAGTCCTTCGTGCCGGATATTTGTTGCGTGATCCCTATGATCAAAAGTGATCGGGCAGGCCAACCAGGGGTTGATCCTAGGGGTGACAGGCTCTATGGCGCGTGTGTCTCTGAGTGCATGCTTGCTTCTCCTCTTCGTCACATGGACCACGTTTACCGTTTTAACCTCTGGTGGGAACTTTTTCTGTCCTCCGGTGCTTTGCTGGCGAGGTTCATCCTCGTCTTCACTTAGTGTCTCCTCCCCTTTATGTTCGGCGTTTAGCTTACCGGCTTGCTTGAAGACCCAACATTCTCTGTGGGTATGATTTGCAGGTTTGTCGGGGGTGCCGTGAATCTGACAAAGCTTGTCAAGAATTTTGTTTAGGCCAGATTGTCCTTCTCTGCTGCCTTTGAAAGGCTTTTTCCGCTGACCTGGTCGAGAGACCCTGAATCCGGCGTTTACCACCGTGTTATCTGGGCTACCTTCTTTATTTCGACGCTTGCTTTTGTTGCGTCGTGGTTTACCATTGTCATCCCTGACTTCGGATGTGCTTGGGTCGCTGGTGCTGCTACGGGCCAACGAGCTATCTTCGCCCGCACAAAAGCGGGTCATGAGGCTTGTTAGGGCTTCCATTGTTCTCAGTTTTTCTTAGCCAAGGTGTCTGGCGAGCCATTCGTCTCAGACGCTGTGTTTAAAAGCTGCTGAGGCTTCGGCGTCCGGACAGTCGACGATTTGGTTCTTCTTAGTGAGGAACCTATTCCAAAGCTTTCGGGCAGACTCTCCGGGCTGTTGGATTATATGACTTAAATCGTCTGCATCCGGAGGTCGGACATAAGTCCCTCAAAAATTAGCCCGAAAAGCGTCCTCGAGCTCCTCCCAACTTCCAATTGAGTTTTCGGGGAGGCTTTTCAGCCAGTGCCGAGCTGGCCCCTTAAGCTTGAGGGGCAAGTATTTAATGGCATGGAGATCGTCTCCGCGAGCCATATGAATATGGAGGATAAAGTCCTCGATCCAGACTCCAGGGTCTGTGGTCCCGTCGTACGCCTCTATGTTCACCGGTTTGAATCCTTCTAGGAATTTGTGATCCAGCACCTCATCAGTGAAGCATAAGGGTTGTGCGGCACCCCTGTATTGGGATGTGCCATGGTGTTCGGACGGTTGTAGTATTCGGTTTTGGTTTTGTACCGTAGTGCGCTTCCTAGATCCATAGATGGATCTAGTCGCGCCGGATTTTTGGTGCAAGTTCTCACGTATATCGTGTGTTGGCTTATGCCCGACTTTGTTAGCCGCTCTATCGCATTCACAAGGTGGTGGATCCGGCCGGTTGGCCATATCATTCTTCGGTTGTGTGGGCTCTAAGGCCTCATCGTCGAATTCCGGTAATAGCTTGCGCTTTGGATAGCTATTTGTGTGGTAACTTCCACCGTACTTTGTTTCCTTGCCGAGCACTTTGTTCCACCTGATGTTGAGCGTATCTTATGTGCTCTTAAGCCTTTGCTTATGTTTCTTCAGGCTCCTCGTTGTGGCAATAAACCTTCTGCGGAGGTTCTCTTGTTCCAAGTGCGTTTCCGGGATGATGTGTGCATCTTCGTCCGGACTGTTTTCCTCCCCAAACGGGGTTTGATGAGGTTTATCCTTGACGTCGCCGTGTTTGGACCCCCGATTCGTACTATGTTTGTCGTTTGCATCTTGATTGTGCTCTGCCACCGGGGTGGTGCAGTCGTCCTTTCTTCTAGAATTGACTGGACTGTTATTTCCTCTTGCGTTGTTATCGTTGTTTTTGCTATGGCGGGACTTAGAGCGGCGCCGCTGACGTCGGCGCTTGGGTTGCTTGGAGGGGGCATCCTCCGTTGTCTCTTCGCCATTGCCCTTTGTGGGTGTATTCACCATGTATATGTCATGTGATGAAGTGGTGGTCCAGCGCATGGTGGTGTTGAGTTCTGGGAGGGATTTCTCTAATGGATTGAGAAGTTTTGCGATTTTCTGGATAAAAAGCGTTAGTTCAGAAAGATCTGCGTCAGCATTAAATTCATCAGACGGGTTAGCCAGCCCGCAAGGTATGAGATGGAGGCAAGTTTTAGGGTTGTGCACGGTGCAGCCGCTGTATGTATTATAATGATCCGGCGAAATCGAAACCGGGCAGGAATCTGCTGCCGAGTCATCAAGATCATAGTTGCCGTATTCAAACTATTATACTATGAGGTGAAGGTATAGCAGTTGTCGCTGTAGTCCAAATCCAGAGGTGGGCAAGCCTGGTCTGCAAGATTAGATCTATTGTCTCTTGTTGCGCTATACGGATGCCTCGTCGCTCATATACTGATGTACCAATTCAAAATCGCCATGGGGTCAGCACGCTACCTCGTGCTGAGCCAACTCGCTAGAACTTTGAGTCGCCTCCGCTTCACTGTTGCGGCCTCGTCTGCGCTAAGCCGGAAGCCCCCGCCAGTGGCGGCGCCAGGAAATGAAGGCTGGGTATTCATCCAAATTTTCTTTTATTTGGTGTAGATGTCGAAGTTTTTTTATTTGCATTGGAAGCTCTTTCCCACAATGCAACAATACTAACACCCTTCTTCTTCATCTGTGATACAAGATCAGAAAAAATACATCAGCAATCTAGTAATCTACTAAGTTGGTCGTGTAGCAAATTAGTGTTCGGATCGTTCTAAACAAATGAATATGAATGCATTTTACAGCACAAGCAATTTGTCCTGACATAGAAAAATCATTCTACAACATCATGAATAGCAGAGGAGTTGTACCGAACTATTCAACCAATAATATGTTCGCGCACTCAGTAGGCAGTAGCAGAGTGATGTGCATATTTGATAGCAACACAAGCAGCAATTTGTCCCCAAAACTTTAACCCGGAATACCCACCTTAGGCAGTAGCTCGTTGCATTCAAGTCCAACACTAGTAGCAATTTGTCCAATTTGACTGCACTACCAATCCACCTACAGATAATAGAACTAGGAATTAGGAATTGGGAGCATGTGATTTGACTAGGAACTGGGAATTAGGAATTGGGAACTAGGACAAATCCAGCACTAGCTCGCTCTGTAATGCTCCAGGCGCTGCTACAATTTGACCAGGCGCTGCCGCATAAGCCCATAGGAATTAGAACTAGGAGAAGAGGAGAATAGAACCTGGTCCGCTGCCGGCCTGCCGCTGGTCGCCCGTTCAGTGGCTCCGCTTGCCGCTGCTTGCAATCAGTACTGGCCGTCGCCGCGGGCCGCTACTCGCTGCCGCCATCGCCGCTAGTCGTAGTCGCTAGGTTAGGTTGGGGACTTGGGGAACGGCCGAGTGGGGGTTGGATCGAGTGAACGGGACGAGTGTAGCCGATATCCTGTGTGGGCTATGGGCTGTGGTCCGTTAAATAAGACATGTATTAATTTTTGGCGGCCAAATCTTGGGTATTCATATGAATACACGTGAATACCCCTGGCGCCGCCGATGGTCCCCGCCATGGGGTTGCCTCACGACAGCCGTTGACTCGCCTGGCGGTACGCGCGCTGCGTTCTTATCTCCGCTGCTGCTGCCTCGTCGTCATCCTGCTGCTGAGTCACTTCATGATGAACCAACGCTCCTGCTGTACTAAAAGAAAGTAAAAGATGCTAGCCGTCTAGGCAAGCGAGATTGTTGTCGATTGGATTAATGGAATCAAAGTATTACTGGCGTATTTGCACATGGCTTAAGGAGAAACATCACAGGGTGGAAAAGTCAATTGGATTTAGTAGTAATCCAAATCAGTGCTCGCGCGGCAACCAAAACCAGGAAAAGCAAATCACAAATCGTGGCACTTTTTGTGCACCTAGGTCGCGAGTTCTAATTGACGGCCTCCTCTGCTGCTCCGGGCTGCCAGCTCACCTCACCGTGTCAATTCTGCAGCAGCTACAAGCCGTCCTCGTGTTAAAGTCAATCCGTCGGCCCGCCGGTTTCGTACCGTTCCTGAAGCGGCCCCACGGCGAGTTGCTGTCTGTTTCAGCCACCATTACAGCCTCGCGACCGAGCGTCTCGCCGCTGCCATAATCCGCCTCACTGCTGCTTCCTGCCGGGTCACCTCCACCCAAGGCCGAAACATCAGTCCAAATTTTGCTCAAGTCACCCTCGCCTGAATGACCACGAGCTGCCACTTCAAATCGCTGCACCGGCCGGTCGTTGCTAAACCGCCGCCGTGGGCTCGCCCCACCTCCGCCTTGGATGGCCATTGAGCCGCCGTTGACTCCTCCGCGGCCTTGAGTCACCCCAGCTTCACAGCTGCCCGTCTCCATCATTGAGCCGCCGGTCTACGGCGAGCCGCCCTCCGCTATTGTAGCCCACGGTTCCGCGGCAAACCACGGACGCGTGAATCGCTGGCCCCAACCAGCCTCCCTCTGCGCAAGATCCCGCATCCCGTGCCAGTTCGCCGCTTCGCCTCTCCTCGCTGGGGGTCTCCACGGTGCCCGACAAACCGGAACCACCTTGAGCCACTTCAGCCGCACTCCTCCATGAATCGTCGTCGCCGGTTCACCACTGCTCGAGCCGTTGCCGGGTCACCACGGACTCGCCCTGCTGCTTGTGGGTTGATCCGCCACTGCGAGTCGCCTGGAGCCACCACTCGTTTTGAAGCCGGCCGCCGCGCTCGCCTCAACCCGCCGCTCTACGCCACCACGAGCTCAGCCGCCACGGTGTCGACCCGCTTGGATCCTAGGCCGCCGCTAGGTCTCCTCCGCTTTAATGCCGGAGTAGGCGCTGAGACTTACCAGACAGCCCCGCGTCGAGCCACTGCCGGACTGACGCCCTGTGCCTCCGGGTTTCCCTGCATCGAGCGCTGCCACACGAAGTGAGCCTCCCCGCTCCATGTCCGCGGGCCTCTGCTGCCATCTGAGCCACTTGAGATGGCTACCTGATGCTCTATGCCGCGCCCCTGCAGGCCTTTTTCGCTGTGGAGTTGTGATAGCAAAAGCAAGTTCTTCTCGCTGGAGATTGGGAAAGTCAAAGGGTCAGTCTGGTTCATGCATTAGTAGTATAAATTACTACAAATACAAGTACTGCCACTAGTTTGGCGTCATATAAAGAAAATAAAAGAAAAGGAGCTGTTGTGCAAGGGCTACATCACACTTTTTGTTGCATGTCCATCCAATGAAAATACCAGGTGCTATCCTTTTTATATATTTTATTAGCACATATTAAATTGTTTGAGAATAGTTACTCTGTCTTTCAATATATTTTATGCAGGACAAAGTCCACCACAAAAGTAGCATTGTACCATGGACAGGAGGTTCGTGTCGGTGTAAACGTTGCAGCCAATTCTTGCGCCTGCGCCGGTTTAAATGTCGTGGCCAACTCTCGCACCTGCACCGACTATCGCTGCCTCGTCCGAATTGTCAATCCGCACCGGTTTACAAATGCTGTGCCCGACTCTCCCGTCCGCACCGACTTACTAAAGCCGCGACCGATTCTCCCGCCCGCGCTGACTTACAACGCCGCGGCTGACTCATCTGTCTGTGCCGTCTCTGAAGCCGCGGCCGTCTTTGTCGTCCGTCTCTCACGGCCTGGTCTACATCAACACACCGGGCCGCACCTGTCTGTATGAGCTATTTATTGAGTATGAGCAAGCTACAGCTTGGGTAGCCCGGTTTTCTTTCAAATTGGAGGCAAATTATCACCAACAGCCGTCTGCGCTGGATGGATCAATGGACATGCGCACAAATCGCTGCCACTACAGTTTGGTCAACTTCAAATAGCCAGTTGGAAGGAGCCATTGGCCGAGTTGCTGACATGGCTCATACGGGATCATTTATAACCCGCCGCAGTCACCTCAATCTTCGGTGGATTTACATTGTGTTATTAACACCAATGATATATACCTTCTGCTATGGTCAAGTACGGAGAATCTCAAGACAACTCCTTGAGTCATCTTAAGACTCGGGGACTACGATGATATGACGCAACAAGTCTTGCCAGTTTCAGCAAATTCAAGTGCCCCAGGATGTTGAAGGGAAACCTGGTCCCGGAGGCTACTGTTATATTGATGAAAATTTAAAGGCCGTCAGAAATATTCCGGTTCACAATGATACTTCCGGTCTATAATCCGGTTCAAGGGAAATCCATTCTCCCACAAAGCTCTGAAGCGCTCAAATCCGGTTTAAAAAATGTCCGGTTTAAAAAGTAATTAACTTCTCGCAAGTTTGAGTTGAAAGGCCGTCAGAAAATTTCCGTCTGAAAATGAAGATTCTGGTTTGCAATCCGCTTTAAGGGAAATTTGTTCTCCCACATATCTTGGAAGCTCTCGATATCCGGTTCAAAATCCCGGTTCAAAAAGAATTTATCTCTTGCAAAAAATTAAAAGTTGCCAAGAGGACCTGCTGCCATGATGTGCGGTTCAAACATGGGTATCATGCCTTATTGGCTTATCATATTATTGATCACTTGGGGGCTTGGTCGTATTCGAACTATAGCTACACCTCTTGATCCGCGCAAGGCCACCAGAAAAATCACTAGGGGGCTTGGTCATATCTGAACCATAGCTACACCTCTTGATAGGTTTGAAACCATAAAAGGGATATCACTAGGGGGCTTGGTCATATCTGAACCATAGCTACACCTCTTGATCGGCGTAAGGCCAACATGAATTCACTTCGGGGCCAAAGAGAGTGTTGCAAAAAGCACAGACTCAAACATGGGCACCCACTGAGCACAGCTCAAAAAGTTACTTGGGGGTTCTTTGTGCAAAGCAACAAAGAGTTTGAAAGGATCCTTGTAATTGGCTATCAAGCCACGGCTTGGAAGCCTGGTGTATTCACCTAAAACCCCGGGTTAACCTGCCTTCATCAAGTAAGCCACTCCTGTCCAGGTAATCCTGGTATGACCCGCCGAATGTTTGGCAAGTCAATCTTATATAGACCCTGAACTTGTCAAAGTTAAAACGACGATTGGTTAATTGGAGGCCCATCTTAAAAGGCTTTGTTAAATGGTTTAACTCAGCGGCCTGGCAGCCCATGAAAAGCCTTGATTTGGAGCCTGGCAGCTCGTAAAAAGCCTCGCATGTTCTTTTTGAGTTCTATTTGCCAAGTTTTTTCGCCTTTGTTGAGGTTCATAATATCTTCTGGTAAACCAGCGTCCTTGACCCGGCTTGGCTCTCAACTACAAGTTGTCACTACATGATCAGTTATAATCCGGCATTCATTAACCCGGTCTGGTTTTGACTAAACAAGTCGCCAGTATTATAAGGAAAATCCAGTGTTTATTATATCCCGGTGCGGTTTATTATCATAATCCGGCAAATTAAGGAAGGAGCCCAATACTCAAGATTGGGGTTACCACCCTCACTACAAAAGTTGGTTAAACCAACGAGGTGATTCTATGTCACAGGTATCATCTATGTCATATTTGATTATCTTCAATTACAGCCTTGGTTATGAACCCTGGCTATATGTTTGGTCATTATGACCCGCCCGCCGGGTTATAAGAATTCCGGCTTACAATGAATGCGCATTAAGTTGCCATCGGCCAAGAGCCGCCGAGTATTTCAACTCCGGATTTATTTATCAACTCGTAAAGTATTCAAATCTTTAATAGCCAACATGGCTAGATTTTTATTATGGTTATCAATAATCACTATTACGATTGAGGTTTTTAAAGTCGCTTCAGCGCAATGGATATTATTTTATCAATGGATATAATTTATTCTACAAATGGAAGGAATAGTCTCGAGTCGCTGCAGGCTTACAACCCGGCACTTGGGGGCTACATTATTCAAATTGAGATTACATCAAATATGCAAGTCTCATGTCGCTGCAAGCATGCACCATGACACTTGGGGGCTAATGCAAAGTCATTGCTTGCTCACTTATTGAAGATCCGACTCATCACATCGTAATAAGCCGGCCCTTGGGGGCTACCAATTGCTCCTGTCAACAATTCAAGGTACACAGATTTTCACCTATTATTGAAGGATCCATTGCTCAGTTGGTAAAGCACAAGGCTCTTAACCTTGTGGACATGGGTTCAAGCCCCATGATGGGGGTTACATCATATGATGTTATTTTCATTGAAGAATATATCAAGTCCCAGCTCAATATTATCTTATTGAGCCGGCCCTTGGGGGCTACATATTGCTGCTCAAGTTTACATGATCATATTTACAAAGTCTCTGCTCATTATTGCATAATAACCCGGCCCTTGGAGGTTAGCAATTTCAAGTCCCAGGTTGCTGCAAGCATGACAACCCGGCACTTGGGGGCTACATATGTGGAATACTCAGTGCTAACTGGTGATTGAAATGAACAACCTGGATTTCTTCAAGATTGTGACAATCATATTGAAGCAAGTATTAAGCTATTGCTATGTTACCTTCTTAAGACTTGGGGGCTACAAGTGATAGGCATATAAGAGGTATATTTTCAAGCTTGATGTTAACTACAATTATGACCTGGTGCCATCAATATTTATAAACCGGTAATGATAAACCGGCAAGTTCAAAGTCTTAAACCGGCATAGTTTTACATTCTCAAACCGGAAAGTTCTACATTCTTAAATCGGCTGTAGATCAGATGAGTATTTCAAAGGCCAATATTTTTGTTAAGCATTGGGAGCTGAAGTCAAAGGAGTTATTCTTCACAATATTTATCTATGACAAACCAATGTCAGCAAATTGATTATGAAGCTGGTCTATTGACTCGGATTTTCTAGAAGGAAATGACAAGGATTTAAAGATGCTTGGGATCAGTTTAACATGGATAAATCCAAATTAAACTGGGGGCTAATGTTGGGGATATACCCCACGGTATGACCCGGCTGGAGTTGTAAACCGGCTGGGACTTGGTAAACCAGCGGATGGTAAACCGGCGGAGAGTTAAGACAGAGAGTCAAGACAGATGGCTAAGACACACGGTAAACCGGCTGGTGTTAAACCGGCAGACAATGTTAAACCGGCAGACAATGTTAAACCGGCAGACAATGTTAAACCGGCAGACAATGTTAAATCGGCATACAATGTTAAACCGGCAGACGTTAAGAAGCCCAGGAAGGGAAGTCAAAATAGTTTAAGTTAAAGTCCGAGTTGGACTCCACATGTAACCCGCCCCTTCAATATATATAAGGAGGAGCAGGGCTCCTCAAAGGGGGGGAAGCAAGAAACAATCTCTAGGGCTAGACACAACTAGAGGAGAGCCAGTTTACAGCGACTCCCTCGTGATGATAATGAGATCTAACCTCAAACAGCATGTAGGGTTGTTACCGGATGATGTTTCCCGGGGCCCGAAGCTGTCTAAACCCTTGTCCTGTGTTGCGTCTCTCGATTCCGCTCAACCCCTCTCAAGCTACCACATAGATGCGTTGGCCTCGCAACTAAGTCCTCACACTATGGACATCTGACGTGACAATTCCACGACAGGCGCCCTGTGGGTGGTGGCTCATGTTCGTCTCCTGCATCGTCGTCCATATCGTCGATGTCTTCAGAGTCGAAGTCAAGCATGTCGGTTAAGTCGTCGACAGTGGCTACTAAGTGGGTGGTGGGTGGGCAGTGAATTTCTTCGTCGTCCGCATCCCATTCTAGCCGGACATCGTTCGGCCAAGGTTCTCCTGACAGGGAGAGAGACCTTAATGAATTTAGCACATCGCCGAAAGGTGAGTGCTGAAAGATATCCGCGGAGGTGAACTCCAGGATCGGTGCCCAATCGGATTCGATGGGTGCGGATGCAGGCGGCTCGGAGCCCGTGGCCGGAGAAGAATCCAGTGGTTTGGCGACACGACTCTCGTAAGGGGTAAAGTCAGTATCCGGCTCTATCGCCACTGAGAGTGCAGCCTCCATGGTGGGGTATATCCCCCCGCTCTCAAATGGCGCAATTTGCTCTGGATT